GTTTCCTTCTTACTTCGTCACTCGTTCAACCTATTTTCGCTCCTTAGATTGCCTTTCATTTATTCGCCTCGGACCAGTGCCTGGCATCTCCGCTGCACTTGCTATCCTTTCACCTCTACCAACTGCACTCTCCCTAGGCCATTCTCCTACATACCGACGACCTCGTATCTCAGAACCTAGCCATGAAGTTCTTCGCCAAACTCCTAGCTCTTACGGCAGCTACTGCTTTCGCCGCCCCCAGGCACGAGATCAAGCACCGAGATCTCGTCGCCGATGACGCTCCACACCAGGACGACCCAAATTTCATTAGTGCCGTCATGCGAGCTCATTGGTACTGGCGCAAATTGCATTGTGCGCAAGACCTCATTTGGGACACTGAGCTTGCCGACGCCGCGCGAGCTGACATTGAAGAGTGTCCAAAGGACCCTGAACACGTACGTAGTTGGCACGATGACAGGCATGGCACAGCTGACATGAACAGAAACGCTCCGGCAGTAACCTCTCTTCCGTAAACCCACCTCCCGACGGTTACGACGCTTGGATCGAGTTCGCCCGCACTGCCACGCACGGCTGGCACGAAGAGGAGACCAAGTACCCCTACGACAACCCACACTTCGATGCAGCATGGGGTCACTTCACGCAGATGGTGTGGCGCAACAGCACACGTCTTGGCTGTGCTCTTGGACACTGCGACGACGGCGTTAATTGGCCGGGTCGCTTCTACTGCTGTAAGTGCAACGCGCGGTAGCTCCAGGATATCAGTGCTGACACTCACAGACTACTCGTTCTTTGGCAATAACATTGCGGCTGGGCAGTTCGAGGCTCAGGTATGGGCGCCTGTATGCAGTGACCCCAGTGTTGGCGAAGTCCAGGCGCGCGAGGATGTCAACTTCGACTGGAAGCGAGTCTGAAACGCTCACGCTCCAACGTGACACTGCGCTTCGCGTGCCGCCTGTGTAACGATGTTCACGACAGCGTCCTCTTTCCTCACCACCTTGTTTGGCGCTATACCCTGTCCACGGATCTCATTTCGCACATACTTTGTCTACTTGGAGATGTGCTGCCGCTTGTCTGGCATGCCTGATCATATCATTGGTCTTGACTACACCTCTGGTGTCCTCTTCTCAATGACCGATTCAGGTGGTTGGTCATGCTAGCAAATGTTGAGATACTGTTGGGCAATGCTATGGTGTAGCCTCTTGGTTATGGTTAGACGAAATGCAAAGGATTGGTTACACAATGACTTCTTGAGTTGTTTTCCCCCTTTCACACGTTACTGTCTCAGCCACTGCGAAAGACGTCATGGGCTGATCATGAAGATTCTCCAACTTTCGCTACGTCAAAGAATGAAGGCCAGCAATCATGTTTGTTTCTTGAGGCGGTATAATAGGAACGTATTCCAAACATGAAGCGATTCCAGACTTTGTCGGCTTGGGACTTCATCGTAATCCAGAATGCCCCCAAACGATACGGCATTCACTTGGACCACAGTCCTCAGCACACGCGGTTTCTTAAGCACGGTTGCTGGCGTCCTATTTAGTAAAGTTGCCAGTCCAGACTATGAACAGCTCGTCGACTCAATCAAAGCTAACTCCCTTCTCCTTTACCCCGACATATCAACTACCGTCTGCACTTTCCACACCAAGGCGACGGGGTTTAGATGTAGGAAGAAGGAATTATGGGCTGCGACGTTGACTATAGATGTGGATAGGGTGGTCTTGGAGAGGGTTCACGGGAGAAGCAGTAGGGAAGCCGCTTTGAAGGCGCTGGATAGTGAAGTAAAGAGAACGCTGAAAGAGAACAGGGAGCAGATGGAGTTAGAAAGTGACCGCGCGCTTGGGGAAGAGGTTGAAGAGAGGAACGGGAGAAAGGAAGGGGATGCCGGAAGTGAAGAGGGGTTGTGCTAGGGGATGCCGGAGACCCCGGCATGAATGCTATCTGAGGACACATCTCGTGACCTCACGAGAGATTAGGAGCAGAGTAGAAGGCGAGACCAGAGTCTTTGCAAAACCAATACACAAGCGTCGTCTAAACCCTGAGAAGTAAACTGGAGCCCTTGATAAGTGTCGGGCCGAAAGTCTTGGAGTACCTAGGTATTCTTAGATACAAGACTCAGTAAACTTGTTGAAAAAGTAAATAATCAAACAATTTTTGTCAACGAGCTATACAAGCCTCATGTTTTGTGTCGAGAACGATAGTTCAGCCTCATGCACTGCACGGGGCCTCGCGATCGGTGCCTGCGGGCGGCAATTCCGCGGATCGCGAAGCACAATCGGTCCTACAAGACACGACAAACCCCCCCATGATCTCCATCTGACCCATAACCATCAGCGAGATCCTCTTTAATCCACTCTTGTCAACTCACTTTTCCATCCCTCGTTTCGAGAACAGCGTTCGCAAAACATCGGCATCTTGATCAGCGACGGAAGTCGGTCATGAGCGGGCGATCCCTGCATAACGGCCATGCGCCAGTGGACGGATTGCATCATTGAACGCCACCATGGCCTCGAATCTTGCCTCGCACGCAGCGAGAGCCGCAACGCGCGACGGGCAAGCCACTCGGAGCCCCCACTAAAGGCGTGCTTTTGTCCGCCCTGCCATCAGAGATACAGGCAAGCACGGCGGGTGAGGGGCGTGGCGGATCCATCTCCGCGTGGGTTTAACACGAGCGACAGGCACGAGAGAGTCTAGCCCTCCTGCCTTCCCTGGCTGCACCTTCCTCGTGCGTCTCGCGCGTGCTTGCCAGAGTCTACGCATGTTTACCGGGTTTTAAGGTTGCGCCTTCTCTCTGTTTCCGCCAATTTTCGACGAATTGACTGCAATCGATCGACATCACGACCCCGACTACTCAATCACCACTACATACTACACTGCACTCACTCGCCTGGTAGCCCACGATGCTGGAGAGGCAGCAACATGCGCTGCGGGACGACGCCAGGGACGCCGCGCCGAGGTTGCCAGTCTCGCTCTCGGGAGAGATCAACGCTGCTACACGGTATGATCCTGGTGTTGTATCACTTGGGAGCCAGGCCACGATGCTAATAATACACGTCCAGTTCTCTGCACACAAACCTTAACCGCCTCATAACCTCGCGCCTGCCGCTTGCGCTCCCGCCTTACACGACAGACGCCACACTCTACGCAACCGGCCTGCTGCATTTCGCCCACATCTTCCTTACCTTCGAGTCACTGTGGGCGGATCTGCTGCGCGACCATGCCCCAGCCTCACATACCGCCTCCACACACCCCGCAGTCGATTCTGAACCCGCTTCCCCACCCTTCTCGCCACTGTTGTCGTATCTCCTCGTAAACCCGTACGACTCACCCTCGCTCTTCACGTCAACACTCGGTGCGCCAACACCGCCTTCTCCACAACTCGCTGCTTTCCTGAAAGCGCTACGGCCGAGGGGTCTGATACGGTCGAGTCGGCTAAAGAGGGATCTGGAGTATCTGCTCGGAGTGCACCCCACAGATCTCGAAATCCTGCTAGCAAAATACCCTGGAGACAAGGTCGCCGACTTCTGCACACACATCCGCAAGAGCGTGAACGAGAAACCGTGGACGCTAGTCAGCTATGCGTGGTGTTTCTACATGGCCGTCTTCTCTGGAGGCCGCTGGATACGAGGGACGCTCTTGAAGGCACCTCCAGGTTTCTGGCCAGAGCAAGACGGCGAAGAGACGAGTTTGGAAGAACGCGGCTTATCCTTCTGGCATTTCCTCGGCCCCCACGACGGCGAAGACATCAAAGCGGATTTCAAAACCCAACTCCTCGCCGCGGAGACCCTCTTCACACCCGACGAGCGCGTCGACATCATCGAGGAAGCGAAAAACATTTTCCGTCTTTGCGCTACGCTCGTAGATGAGCTGGATGAGTCGATCGGCACAGACATGGCGCGCACGGAAGCGACACCCTCAGTTCACCCCGAACCCAAGATCTCGAGTCCGACCCGAAAAGAGCCTCTCGTTGATACAAATGTCGCTGTTATCGGACATGTGACGAAGACGGATGACCCGTTCAAGACATTTCTCAGGAGGCCAGAGGTCACGGGTACCTTGGTCGCTATTGGCTGTCTGGCTGTGGTCACGTTGTTCAAGTTGCAGTGAGACAACAACACCATGCGCCCGGTGTCACGACTGGTTTTCTTCTTTTCCTTTTGCAGATACTCGGCGGACACTTTTCTTTTTGGTTCACATGATTAGCGTTAATAGCCGCATCTGGCATGATGCAGTTTTTATTTGTGCACGAGCGACATGGCAGTATGGCAGTACGACTGCCTCTACTTCTCTTTATGGTTTTCATGCGCTATGGCATCCGGAGTTTCACTCGTCTTCAGCGGGCTAGGATTAGCCTGCCATTTAGTGGAGTTCTTCTCACATAGTCTTTTACGGATATTCATCTGAGACTACATCAGTAGTCGGTGCATGTATGGAGAAATGGCATGAGATACCCCTATGTAGTGGTTTATAGATACATATGATTTCTGCTTATACTTCTTGTGGCCTTGAGTTCGTGTGAATGGTTTGATGTGAAGAGTGCGGTGTGGTGAAGAGCAGAGTACGCAACTCATGACGGTAGAGGGCTGGTGTGTCCTGAATGCGTGCGTTGAGTGAAGGGAATCATAGTGACGTTTGCGGTGAGGTATATATTCATCACCTGGGCATGGTCACGTTGCGCATCGCGGCACATGTTGCTAAGGGAAGACAGGTTGTGTTCAATTTATGTAAGGGGATATGGAGATACATGGATGATGTTGCATGTTGCTGTTGGTGTGTGTTCTAAAGGAGATAAGGGGTGATGTGTGAGCGTCGTTACATGTTTTTTGGGCTTTTCTGAAGATGGTGTTCGTGTGCTTGCCTCCTCTTCTTTCCAAGTGTTTTTGGTGGGTTGTGGTATGCTAGAAAGGGAATGAGCAAGGAAGTGGTCTTCTCCGGTAACATAGTGACGAGCCAAAGCGTACACGTGATATCATACGTTCGGTCAGTGAGCGGGCACTTGGAGCTTAGGACCAAAGATCAGTGCTCAAGTCGTTCCGAATGCTCTGGTCGAAAGAGCCATCCGTGCCATGGGCTTTGCGTAGATGAATTCGGAGGTCCGCAGGGCGAAAGTATCCTTTTCCATTGATGCGATCGCAGCCAGCCTGTGGGCAGGAGAATCCGGATTCGTCGTGCACAGTACGCATATGCTTGACCCATTCCTTGGAAGTCGCGAAAGCACCTTGTTGCCAGTCGTCTACGCTAGCAGGTCTCGATTCGGGACACTCTTTCTTTGGGCACCACTTGCGGTCGTCCAGCTTGCAGACCTGATCGCCTTCGCCAATATGATGATAATTCCGAACGTGCTGTGTGAGATGATCCTTGCGTTTGAAGCCATTCTTTCCTCGGTACTTCTTGCAATACTTGCATGGGAAACGCTTAGAGTCCTCTCGATGCGTTCGTTGATGCCTTTGGTACGTGTCCAGTCGGGAGAATTGCTTCTCGCAGCCTTCATGCCTGCAAATGAACGAAGCATGGCCTGTGCTGGCAGCATGTAGTCCTATTTCGTACAGCGTCTTGCCATCGTACATGCATTCATCGCATGTAAAGGTGTCCTGATGCACAGATCGCATGTGGTCCTGGTATCTCCACTGTGAGATGTAATGGAACTCACAGGAAAGTATGACGCATTTTCGACTGACGGTATCATGTGGCGACTGCTGTGATGTGAATTGGGCAGGCATACCATCGGTAGTCTCGCTTACTGGGTCAAAGCATCTCGCTCCGGTGTCGACGAAACTACTTGAACAATGTCAAAGGCCAATCTCTCTGTAGATCCACATTATACTGACCTCCCATCGTGGCTTGTTTGGGAAGCGTCCAGATTTATCTGGCTCCTGAAATAACGACCCGTAGCGTTGGAGTCGGAGACGCTATGACCCTCAAATTGTCGGGTGGACGTTTGGGTATTGGACCAGTCGAGATGAGACTCGCTCAAGATGCGGTCACTGGACAGCATGCCATCGTAACAGTGATCCAGACTGAAGGGGAAAGCTTCGAGTGATGAAGACCAAGGCAAGACGAGTGACTCGTACGGTTGTACAGTCGTCGAGTTGACTGCAGAACGATCAAATGCAGATGCCTGGCTGAACGACCGTCGCCCTTTTTGTTAGCAGAGTGTAAAAAAAAAAGCTCACCCGAACTCCGGGAATTCGAATTCGTCCATGATTGGCAAGGCAGACAAAGGCTGCAGCGTGCCTAACCGAAAGCGTAGAGGCGAAGCAAGCCACTCAAGCTGATGTGTTGGCAGTCGTAAAGCAGCGCAGCAAGGCTGAAGCGGTGATGGTAGGCGAAGCGGGAAATTCTGGTGGAGGATGCAAGCGGGATCCATCAGTAATACATACTTGCCGCCGGTGAAGCCTCGCGCTGCTTTAAGCCAGGCAGCGAAAAGGGCGAGAGCTGCCAGGCTGACTCTTGGCTGCATGCTCAGCTGAGGAGGAGTGGTATGATTGGATGTTTTGCGCGAAAGGGCCATGGCCCTTTTTTGGTGAGCATTATTAGAGCTTGATGTGCACGTGTGAGTTACCTAACTGCGTGCTGGTAGACACGAGATGTTTGCTGGAAATGTGTATTGTATTCGTCTATAGCTTGAGAAGCAGGGTAGGACCGGGAGGTATTCGCGGTTGACTTCAGTGTCAGACGATTGTACGGAAGGTCATGTCGCCGTCGTTGGGGATACATGTGTATGTATACTTCGGGGTGTAGCTAGTCCTTTACAAAATAACGAGTCGCGTACTGATACGATAGGATTGAATGTATGAAGAATCTGTCATCGCGTTCCGAGAATAGGTATTCTTGTTTTTGTCGAGATAATGGACCCATAGCAGGTAGTCATTGTGGCCCACTATCCGGATTCGTGCTCGTTCAACTCCCCATACCATTCTTCTTGACGCATTTGTTCAGTTTCAACGCCATGAGGAAAAATACGTTTGGCGATGGGAGTACTCACGTCCTCGTCTGATTCGAGGAAAACCATGAACTTAGGATACGCTTCGAAGTTAGTTGCATTTCGCTTCTCTTCCCACGTAGTGAACGCCGTCCAATATAATTCCTCAACATCCTCTCGTAAGTCCTCCACCCCGTCTTTCCAGCAAGAAAGTGCATCATCCGCGTTTTGCTCGAGCGTACGCAAGACTTGACCAACCCGGATCCCCTCAGCATCGCGAATTTTAGCAACCAATCTAAGAACTGGTGCGCGTCGGCGTGGTAGATAGATACCCAAAGCTTTGCACGGCGGTTCTGTAAGAAACATAGAGCTGATTAACTCATCAAAAGCTGTCTGTGGCATAGGTCTTTTGTAAACGCGCCGTTCAGAAGAACATGGGCTCAGTATGATTTCGCATCTGCCGAGATGTAGCCGCACTCGCCCTGGAAATAGTCCCAGAAAGTACGGATTGAAGCTGAATTGGCTCAGATCAAGCCAACACGGACTACCAAACTGTGGGAACATTCCTGGGAGACTGAACCTGACGTCTTCATACCAATCTCGGATGTTCTCGTAATATAGCTGAGGTATGTTGCGCGCTTGGGAGACTTTGGCAGAATAGTATTGGCGGCGGGCTGGAACAGACGGAGTAGTAGTAGCGGGGTCCTGAGGTAGCGACAAGACCGCATGCTCGATGTCGATAATCTCCTTTTCAGTGGGCTGTAGCCAGAAGAGTTCCCTGTCAATTGTTTGCCCATGGTTCACTGGAGGGCAAGGATGATGGCTGTGGTATCGAGACGCGAAAATATAGCGAATTGTCTAACGCCAGGACACATCAACGTTCCAAGCTGGGTATTGTGAGTCTGTGGTTGCATACCGAAGTATCATCTCCAGTGATTCAGGAATGTCGAATACACGCCGAGCAGAGAAAGAGAAACTGCCTGACTGTAGCTTACGAGCAGTGCCAAACGTTGGGGCGCGCATGGAAGGAGTATGGTATGAATATAGTTGCAAACGCGCATCGATCGTGTACAGCATCGTTCGCCTCCATTCTTCCACTCCAGGCATCAAAGATGGGTGCGGTTTCTCTGGCCATATCGTTTGATGATGTACTCCGTTGTGATCGAGTTTAAGGGCCAGGAGATACAGGTTACCCAACTGAGTTTTGTTTGCGTGCAGTAAACTAAGATCTTGGTCCGGAAAGTGTTTCGCGATCAGCGAGTCATACGGGTGGTATTGCACGCATTCTGGATCGGGGGTAGTGGAAGCCATGGCGATGTGGCTTTGGCAGGGTGCTGCATGGAAGGCAGAGAGATGTGCCGGCCTTTATAGGTAGATATGGCATCGAGCTCCATCACGGGAATCTAATGCCTGGAGTGGTGTTTTGGTACTGTTGAGTCTAGTGCTGCCGATGTAGGCAGGCGCAGATCACGTGATGCGGCCCGTGCCCCTGCTGCCTTGAGAAGTCGCAGCACATAAAATCCATCATCCCCTGCAACTTCATAACTCCTCATTCAAAATTCACGAAGCTTATCCCGAACCCTGATTGCGGCAACATGACCACCCCAGATATGCCCAACGAAGGCGCACAGCAGAGGTATGACAACGACGACGATGGACTGCATCCCGATGACGTTCTAATCACGAAATGGTTTCCAGAATGTACGACTTTAGAACTGCTGGATCGTTATCCAGAACGATCTGAAATGATCCGTGCCGCTAAAGCCGCAGAAGAAGACATCGCGAACGGCATACATCGAGTTCCGCCACAGGTACCCTGGCCACGTCCACCTCCCCGCCCCCGATCCGATCTAGAGGCAAGTATCGAAGAATGGCGACAGCCACGGTTGCGCATGATCAATCAACTTATGTCTGGATGGGCATCCACATCAACCTCCCTGCCTGGTCAAAACTTATCGGTCACTATCCACAATCGCTCGCATCACGAGAATGCCAGATCAACAAGTGTGAACGCCTGCACTGCTTTGACGGCTCACCATGCGCTCTACATTCCAGAGATTCTCTCGAGCATAATCGGATTTCTTGACCCGAAGTCGATGCTAGAAGTCCACAATGTGTCCTTACTGTGTCGAGCTACTGTCACTATAGTTCTCGGCTTCCAATTCCGCATGGCTTATCCCTGCCCTGCTATCACCTACCGGGATCTAATACCTTCAGGACTTGAATGGATGCAACCAGACGAGAAAGAAATTGCAGAGATGAGCAAGAAAGTTTTCGATCTTCTAGACACAGAGTCAAAGTCCCCAGACACCTACTTCCGTGTCTACTACCCTGCACGAGTGTCACAAGCCACTAATCTTCCCGAAGACTCAAAAACAGCATATCGTAATCTATGGCACATAATGTGCCATAAATGCCGGTTCCTGTTGTTTCCTGTCTGGCCTGGACCGGTCCCTCAGATGTCGCTAGCACCGGAAGACAATCGCTGGTGGGATCTCAGCCAGGTCGAGTTCAATCCGTACTTCGCCCAAATTTTCGATTGCCGTCTTCGAAAGCACTATGGGCGTATAGAGATTGATTTGCAGCCTGGGCCTTTGAGTAGATCTCCGTTCTTTAGCCAGACAACATTGACATCCTTGGTACGGCCTATGTTTCTAACTCAGCCGCCATGCAAGGGCTTGGGACTCTACATCACCCAAGCTAGCTCCAACGCCAACCTTGCAGGATATCCGAAACGTCTCACACATATCCGCGATGACAATGGAATACGAGTCGGCCAATTTCTGGACGAACTCGAACAACATTTGTCTGCAGTTGTTGTATCTTGGCTACGGGATGTTCAAAAGAGGCGTGACTTGCTCTCAGAGATAAAATGGACAGCATTCCCACCGCGTAATTGGCATAACTCACGAGACGATTGGGGATTTAATGATGTTGAACCACGTCTAAAGATAATGATCTTCCTTGACAATTTGGACAAGGTACCAAATGAGATGAACATGGAAGGAGCTGTTTATCAAATATTCTCGGGATTTGGAGATCGCGGAGAAATTTGGAAGCGAGCCTTTGAGGTCTGGCATGCGAACGAAAGTGCTTCCAAGATCTCAGATAGCCTCTAAAAGCCGTGTTTGAAAGACTCGAAGGCTATCTCTCCCATAACTGAAGTCATGTCAACAGATCGGTGGATCCATCGCGCACATTCTTGCATCTAGCGATTAGTCTAGCGCAGGACCGAAAGACGTAGCATATTATCAAAAGCAATCAAAAGACATGAATCTCTCCATGGAAGTTTTGAACAAATCTCAGCGCTACAGTGGGTATCTTGAAGCACTCTGCGCCTAGACAATATATGAAACGTGACACCCATCATGACCATATCGCTGAAGTAGTGCAACGACACTTTCCAGCATATTGCCACGACCTGTACATCGCAGGTCTTTGATAGCTGAAAACGATCTCCTCACACATCGAAACTTCCGCGCCGCTGAAGGGAATACTGTAACCAAGGTCATGATCTTACAGCGTACTCATCTTCCAACCCATGCTCCGGCGCAAAAGGATCGAAAGGAACAACAACCTCCTTCTTCCCAAACGCCTTCTTCAACCCCACCTTCATCCTCTCCAATCTCGTCATCTCCTTCTTCTTAGCCTCCTCAAACGTCATGTAACTCTTATCTATCTCCTTCAGTCGCGCCGCCTCCTCTTTCTCAAACTGATCAGCGCGCTCTCGAAGCCCACTGATGACGTGCTGACGAAGACGGTGGTTGGCGAAGACCATGTCGTGCTCTGGATGCAAAAGAAGAATTTCGGGGATTTTGGAGACGGGAAGGCCGGAATCGGCGATGCGGTGGTAGAGGAAGGATTCCAGGTCCTCAGGACACCACGACGGTTGAGCTGGGATGCCGACGAAAGT